TGAGGGTCTCTGATAGGTCCAAAGGATTAATGGGACTGGCCTGAAGGGCAGCAGTCTGCCAGGATATAAAACCTCAACAGCAAACAGCAATGTCGAACCAGACGGCCCATGCGCTTTTACGCACAACAATTGTGGCGCGTTTTGGCACAGTTGCGATTTTAGGCAATTTTGTGAGTCTTACCCGCGACCATGACTCTGTCCAGTGACTCTGAAGCCTCACATCAACCTGGACTGCCTCCAAATGAGGATGAGATCGATATAGTAGGCGGGGTCGAGTCGATCCATCCAGGGTTGTGCAGAAACGGATGCGCCGCGGATCCTGGATCTTCAGCAGAATCTGGTGCTGAATTTGACTCCTCGGAGCCGGACTCCTCGGGGGAAAGTGAGAGCAGCGTCTGCGCAGGCGCTCCAGCTCCGAGCGGCGCGGTGAAGCCTCCTTACTCCTACATCGCTCTCATCACCATGGCCATCCTGCAGAGTCCGCTGAAGAAGCTGACGCTCAGCGGCATCTGTGACTTCATCAGCAACAAGTTCCCTTACTACAGAGACAAGTTCCCCGCGTGGCAGAACTCCATCAGACACAACCTCTCCCTCAACGACTGCTTCATCAAGATACCCAGGGAGCCTGGGAATCCTGGAAAAGGCAACTACTGGTCTCTGGATCCAGCCTCGGAGGACATGTTTGACAACGGTAGCTTCCTTCGCCGCAGGAAGCGCTTCAAGAGGAACCAGCCAGAGTTTGGCCAAGACGGAGTGGCGTTTTATTCCAGCTTCAGCTGCTACCGGCCCTGCGGGCAGCCGTTTGGCGCACAGTGCCCACCCGCATCTGTTCGGTACATGCCACTGCAGGATGGCATCATGATGCCCCCCTCTTCCTGCCACCTATTGCCACGCGCTCTGAACAGTCACACAAAGCGCAGTGGACCTGGATACTCCAGAGCGCAGCCGTGCGCTACAGACCCGAAGCCTGGCGCGCAGGCGAAGTGCTCCTTCAGCATCGACAGCATCATGAACAGACCCCCTCCTGTCAGCCAGCAGCCCCCGAACTCATCGCCTACACATTATGGCGCACTCGGGTTCAACCACCTCGTGTTAAATCCAGATGTCTCTGTGTTGCCAGCTCTCCTGCAGCCTGTACGGACTCCTTTCTGCCCCCCTCCAGCACTGAGCGCTGAGAGTTTCATACTCTCTTACTCTCCACTGCTGACACATTAATAACCTCTTTGCTGCTGTGATTTATTTCTGTGATTTATTTCTCAAAGAAATGTTTTGACTGCATGATATTTATGTGCGTTTACATTCAGAACTGTCTTTACAGAAAACAGTGTAAATAAGATGAGTGGTAACTTAATATATTTATGAGCATAACGATGGTGGGAGGGGAAATTTTTTATTTTCTTTTCTAATAATGTGTCAAAATAAACGTTTTTTGGGGGGAAATGCTGCTTTGTCTGATGATTTGGAAAAATATGCGAAAACTTTACCCCTGACATTGTATTTGCAATAAAAAGAACTTGTGATAAAATTCCTCAAGAAGGTTGGTTACTGTATGATGTAAAACTGTGCAGTTCGGCTGTGTGCATGGGTTATAATTGTAAAACTTTGGAATACAACATGTGGAAAAAAAGAAAACTTACAATCCCTTCTCACATTTACAAAAAAAAAAAGCCTCAATTTATTCTTAATCCTTTACGTCAAATATTAATAGTTAGGGCAATAAAATGTGGAAAAAGTATTAAACTGAACTTTGTTTTCTTAATTTACAGTAGGCTACTGTACACATTTTTTCCCCCACCGTTGAACAGCAGTTCCTCAAATCTACCGGAGGGTGTCGCTGTTTGCAAAGTTTCTGCAGACTGGCCTGTAGAAGCGCACATTTGGGCCTTTTTATGTTAATTAATTCAGAACTTTGCCAAATAAAATACACTCGTATGCCAGCCTGTTGCAATAAATTTCACATTATATATTAAACTTAAATCCCTGAAAAAAAATCCACTTTAAATGTCAGTTAATCTTTGCTCAGTTCGATTTAAACTGGTGACTTCATACATTTGGACCTGGTATTGTCTCTAGTGAGGACCGCTCAGACACAGCCAGTGTCCGGTTTCGACACAATCCCCCCCCCCC